ACATCCCACTCCCCCCCAACCCCTCTGAAGTTAAAAAAAGAATTAAAAAAAATTCTTACAAAACTTAAAAATTGGCATTAGTTTCGTTATCGATATATTAATTCTAAAATTGATGAGCGCCACGCTGTGCGCCGCAACCCCCCCACACCGGGTGAGCTCCCCCGGCCGTGCCTGGATGAAATGGGTGGCTTTTAGGAAATTAAAAAGAAAAAAAAAAACAAAAAAAAACTCTCTCTGCCTATGTTAGTCCAACTAAAGGGATAGCGTCGGGAGGCGATGGAGTAAGGGGGAGGCTGTGGGATGGAGAGAGCCCTCCCCGTACCCCTCTGCTGTGCATCCTCACAGCACCCCAGCCCTGGGGGAGGGGGCTCAGGGGGGATCTTTGGTTTGCTCCCCTGACCTGCTGGGAGGTCCGGCGGTGGTGGCGGCAGTGGGGTTACATTCATCGGGTGGTGCTGGCCAGCACGGCGGGAGCCTCACTTGCTGTGCTGCGAGGCCGCGGCTCCCTGAGCATGTTTCTGCTCCTGCTGCTTCACCTGCTGTACGATTTCCCTGATCTTGCGCTGTGCAGTCTTGGGGGGAAAAGCAAGAGCTGAGGGTCAGGGCGGGCACTGCAAGCAGCCCGAGTGGTTGTTCCCCCCGCAGCCACAACTGAGCATCTCACTGCTCGTTGCCCTCCGAGCTTTTAATTATGGGACAAGCACATGGTTCAGCACAGCCATAATTAAGAATGTGCTAAAGAAGGAGCCACTCTGCTCCCGCACAGCTGCAAGCGGAGCACCGCAGGGTTTTAACTTGTTCTTCCTCTGTCACTCCTTGAGAGCTGCCATCCTGCTTGAGCAGTCAGGAGACAAGGTTGTGGTACGTGCACCCAGGTGGGATGCGGGTGCCTGCGGGAGCTCCCCGCCAGCACTGATGCCAGGGAGGAGCCGATTCACACCCTGGGCACCACACCCTGGGCGCCACTATGAATAGTGTCTAAGACATATTTTTAGCTAAATCAAGCCAATCTTTAATTTTGGTGCTAGCACAGCTGGGGAGAGCTGCCGAAACACCTTTAGTGCGTCCTGAGTGCACAGGAACCATCCAAAACAGAGCAGCAGGATGCTCAGGCAACGCTGCACTCGGCAGCTTTCCTTGGTGGATGAAACTGTCTGGGAATATCAGAAAAGCCACAGCCAAACCTTACCTGACTGGCAAAGAAATGCCCAATGATTTTAACGATGACCTCCTCGTTCTCATCTGGGGTTTGGTCTCGTGGCACAATGACTTCTGCACTAGTTAAGTTTTGCAGTTCGTTCACCTGGAGCAAACGACAGAGCCCCAGGTGGGTTTTGTTGTGGAAGAGCCAAAATCCTCTGCTGCTGGTGTCACCCCGGCTCCGAGCCAGAACACGGCACCAGGCTGCCGAGGGTCACACCCTGTCACCCACCTTGGGACGGTCACCACCCAATGAGAGCCACCACCAGGACATGGGGCTGGGATCAAGACATTGCTGCGATCACTGAGCACCTGGGCTTTGCTCCCAGGGTGGGCAGGGGTGATGGGTGATGCCCAGCTCTGCAGCCCCGGGGCAGGGGGTGGCATCCCTGCAACCCCCACCTACCGTCTTGCCACCTTTGCCTATCACACGGCCGGCGGCGAAGGAAGGCACCTTGATGTGGGCTTCAAGCTTCACTTCTTCTTTTGGGTTGAAGAAGTTTTCCTCTTTCAGCTTCCCAAATATTCGCCCCTGGGCCTGGGGAGGAGACGTAAGGGAAGTAAAACCGGCAGACAGCGGTCCTGGCAGTGCCTGCTGTGCCCTCCCTACCTGAGGGCGATGATGTGCTGATTTCCAGCAGCATCAAAACCACGGTAGTGAGCAAAGATCCCCCCCACTCCATGACCAGCGCACCTTGAACTGAGCCTCAGGTGGCCCCGTGATGATGACCATCCGCTCACTGGCGTCGGGGCCTTCTGCCGGGGCAATCTGCAGAGGGATGGGGGAGAAGGAGTGTGAGCGTGGCCCTGCTTTAGCAAGACTTTCCCTATGTGGGCCGTCCCCCCAAGCAAGGGCATCCCCTCCCAGGCAAGCAGGGGCAATAACCAGGGTGTTGCAGGACCGGGTTTCTAATTTGGGGAGCAAAACCACTCCCCGAGGACTCCTGTTTGCTGCCCTCGGCAGTAGGAAGGAGAAACCAAGGCACCAAGGCATGAAGCCTGGGACCAGCCCCACAGTACCCTGCTCACCTTGATGGAGGCGCCGGCAAACCGTGCCAGCTGCTTGATGTGTTGCCCCTTCTTCCCGATGATGGCCCCCACTGCCTGCGTCGGGATGAACAAGTTCACAACCTCCTGCTCTGGCAGCTGCGAGGGCATGGAAGAGTGAGACAGTCAGAGGACCAGCCAGACCAGGGGGTGGCTGCTCCCCTGCCAGCATCCCAAGGCAGCAGCTGCCCGCCTTGGCCACATGCCCGCCCTCCCAAGGTGCCCGAGCAAAGATCTCATGGACGGAGGTGCCAGGGCACTTACGGGGTGCTGATGGGGGAAGGCGCTGGCTGGGGGGGCTCCATACAGACCTGAGAGGTATGCCGAGGAGCTCTATGGTGGGAGAGAAAATGAGGGTCAGTGACATCCCCAACGTGCCAGCCCCTTCCTGGCCACCCTAGCCTGATGCAGAGCACTGTGCCGCCACCATGAGCCTGGCAGGGACACGAGGACAACCCTTCAGCCTCTGCAATCCCACCCCAGAGAGCACAGGTGCACCCGAGGGTATATCGGGGTGAGCTGCAGCCTGGATCCTGTGCCTGCAGCACAACACAATGGGGCTGGGAGGTGAACGGGGGCTCCCAGTTACCCCCAGTCCCTCCCCACTGCTATTTTTCTGGCTGTGTCCTGCCAGCGTTTGTAGCAGAAAACTGGCCCCTACAGCCTTTGGGAGCAGCCGCAACCCTGGAATGCCAAAACCGTGCTGTAACCACCACCAGTCCCCTGCGGAGAAGGTGGGGGTTTGGTGAGAACTGAGCAAAACGTCTGCTTTGACTCCGATTTCCATCACCATTTCCCTGCTCCAGTTCCAAGAGAAGAAAAAACAAAGGCTGAAGAAGATGTTCCACCAAGACCTGGGCTGGGGATGGGGAGAAAGCAGTGGGTCTCTCCAAGGCCAAAAGGGGTACATGCCAGCACCCCAATCCAACTCAACCCAACCCAACCCAACTCCTCTTCAACTCTTTTGTGTCTCAAATACATCAGACACTTCTCCTGGCAGTAGACACAACTCTCTCCTGCTCTGGATTCTGGCAAGTGCAACCAGATGCTACCTGCAAACCACCATTTCTCAGGTGGAGGAGGAGAAGACCCAGCTCCCCTGCCCATGGCAGACACTGCTCTTGCTCCCAGCCCTCTATTTAAACCCGCTGTGCTGAGGTTTTGTGCTCCTCCTCACACCGACTGCATGCTCCCCATGTCCATCCCCTGCTTCTGGCCACAGGCTGCTCCGTGTCTCCTACACCAGTGTGTCCTCTTCTGCCCAGCCGGTCCTCATAACCGGGGAGGGCACTGCATGTCCCCAGCTCCTCCTTTTCACCATGAGGCTCCTTCCCTATCGTCCATCCTTGCCAGGTCTCTAAAGCTCTGGTTTAAGCTACAGCCACTGGCCCCAAGTCCTGCTGAGGACATGGTCAGAAATGACCACTCTGAGGTATGAAACACAAAGTACTTGTGGGGAAGGAGCTGCCACAGAGCCAAGCTGGTTTCCTATTAGTTCTTTTTTTTGCCTGCTCCTTGTTTTACTATAAAAAATGATGGCAGAGGCAATTGCTCCTCTTGGACTCATCAGGGTGGCTTGAAAAAGGCCACGCAAAGCTTTGGGGTGAAGCAGCACCAACCACTGCCCTTCAGGAGACCTGCCTGACTCCTCTCCATCACACCAACAAATGCTCAAGCAGATGTTTTCCTGTTGTGGTTTAACAGCAAGGCTGTGCTTGCTCAGGCGGCCGACACAGACAGAGCATCCTCCCTTCTGCGGGCTGGCAGTGTGCAGACAGACAGACCGACCCTCTCGGTGCCCTCCGGGGCCATCACACACATCACACTCATCCGCCCCCTCCGCACCGCCAGCCCAGCACTCACCGTTCTCCTCCGACTGCTCTGCTGCTGGCGTCGCCAGGAAAAGAAAACAGCACAAGTAAATTAACCCGCATGCCGGTTGCCATGCATCCAAAGCATCTCAGCAGATGTATTTAGAGAGACTAACAGAGACAGACCACAGAGCCTGGCCATCCTAAGGGTGCTCTGCAGGTGCTAGTGGGCTGGGGATGGACCTTCCCCATCAGCACTTTGGCCAATGTGTCTTCCCAATGCTGGACTGTCCTTGCCTGCGTGCAACCTCAGTGGTTTTGAAACTCCTTCCCAGGCTTGCTTTGCCCCAGGTCTCAGCAGCCACAGCACCCCAAGAGAAAGGAAAACCCTTGCCTACAAAATCAGGTGAAGCTCAACTCCCAGCAAGCATGACCCTTTGGGTGCTAGGGCAGGGATCAAGGCTGATGGCTGTACAGGGCATGCTGCTCATTTGCACGCTGCGCCCCTTTCACACCATGCTCCGCATGCCCTGCAGCGATGCCGGCAGGTTCACATGGCCACTGGGACCAGACGCCCAGGGCACAACTGAGTCCACACCATCACAGCCCAGTGGTGGGTTTGTGGTCAGAATGGAAGACCACCTACATGGTTTTTCCATGCTGGCATCGGCACAGGCTGCCCCCAGCCACCTTCAGAGAGCAGCACCCTTGGGACACAAGTCCTTAAACACGTGAGACACGTGAGACCAAGCTCAACACAACATGGGGATGCAGCTGATCTTCCCAGGGAGCTAAATCCAAGGAGTGACAAGCCATGTTCATTCACTGTCTTCTCCACTTCACTGCTGTGATGAGCATCTTCCCCAAACGGCCAAGAGTCAGAGCTCTTGTTCAAGGCTCCCCATGAGATGGCTCCTATAGCTACGGTGTCCTCCCAAACCCAAGAGCTACAGCAGGAGAGTCTACAGACCACTCTGCTCCCAAGAATGCATCTCCTGCACCCCAAAACCTCTTGCACTTACTGAGAACGGGTGGTATGGGGCAGCTGCTGCAGCCCCTCGGGTGCCTGGGGTGGATGGAAGCATTGACAGTCCTGTCGAGAAGATGCCCAAAGCACTGAGGTTCAGTCCAGGGATCAGGTTGGCCTGTTGCTGGGAAAGCAAAGACATGGAGAAACATGTAAAAGGTAGAGTGGGGTTTTGGGGGTTCTCATCATATAGTGTGGACATGACGGGTGAGGGCCAACCCTTGCTGTAACAGATCAACAACCCCCCCAGTTTTCTTCTGGCCACCTCAGCAGTGGCTCTGAAGCAGGGGCATCTCAGGCAGGAGGGCTGGGAGCTTACATTGACAGCCACCACGTCGTTCTCGTAGGCCTCTCGCAACTTCTTCATGATCTCCACTTCAGCATTGGAGCATGCCTCCATGCTGCCCTTCACCGTGATGGTCCGCTCAGGGTTATAAATGGTTAAATCCTGCAAACTAGCCCACAGACAAAAGCCGAGACATGGTTACATCTTTTTCCAAGTCAAAAAAAAAAAAAAAAAAAAAGGAAGGAAAACTCAAATCAAAGATGAGGGTTCCCCCCCCCAAGACAGTGTGGGACCACGTGCCCTCTTCCTGCCCAGTGCCACCATCCACCTGGGATGGAGAACACACAACCAGGATGGGGAACGTGCATGGGACGATGCAACTGCTCTGTTTTCTGGCTCCAGCGCTGCCCGTACCATGTTGGATGGAGGGGGATGGCTCGGTGTTCACCAGGACTTACGGGGAGATGGTGATCTTTGTGCCAGTGTCCTGCTCGATCTTCTTGAGGTTGCGGCCCTCCTTGCCAATCAACCTCCCCACCAGACTGTTGTGTGCTAGGATTTTCAAGGGAATCTCTTCTGCTCTAAAATGGATTAAAAAATAAAATCTAAAGTTCCATCTGGCCAGGAAACCGATATCCAGTAAGGGCCAGTAGCAATGTGGTGGAAGGAGGAGAACCACCACTGTATCTACTCAGCTTCTGGGGAACGGGAGCTCAGGGACTTCCCAAGCCCAATGGGACATCTGTATTTCATGGGGTTTTGTTCTCCAAGTTTTCCTACACGCTCTTTGGACGCACCTGGTCTCTACGGCGCTGTCAACCACACCATGGCGAAGTTACTAAATTGTAAGTTATTAACTGACCCATGACTCTATCCTGAAACTCCAAATGTCAGCAGTTCCCTCGGGGGTGGGGGGGTGACAGAAGATGGCTTCTTCTCCACTGATGGCTGAGTTTACCTCTCTTCCACCAAACCTGCCCATTTTGCTGAGCCAGGGGCACTGAATATCGTACTTACGATTTAGTTTCATCAGCCTCCTTCTGCATGATATCAAGGATCATGCGACATGCTTCGGAGCACCCCTCTGGTGTGGCATGGATGGTGATGGGCTTTTCAGCGGCACCGGCGTTCTCCTTCCGATGGATGTCAACCCTACGGCGAAACAACCAGCAGAGAGGAGCCCCCTGAGATGCGTCTGGTGTCACACAAAGGCTTTCAAGAGCTCAGGAGCTGAGCTTGCTATTCACAGAAAAGGTCATTTCAATGCCTGCTCAAGCTTTGGGGTGAACCTTGGTCTCGCTGACGTACATCTACCATCACCTGGTTTCATGCAAGTCCAGGTAGTGTTTCGCTTCAGTTGGTTTAGATCAGATTTGAGCTACATTTGCCTTTATGACCTGAAGTCTGCCTGGGAGCTGAGGGTTGTCAATCAACGTCAAACGATGCATCAACAGAGGGCAGAACAAATCCTCAACTGGAAAAAGCCCTGAGCAACCCCGTCTATCATCTTTGACACCAGTCCCACTTGGAGCACGAGACCAGATTTGATGTCTGCAGAGGTCCCTTCCAACCTCAACCTCTCTCTGTACAACATCTGAGGCTGTCCAGTGACCAGCAGCTGCCATGACTGTTGCGTGTCCTTCGGGACAGAGAGACAACTTACCCGTAGGCAGTGTTTGTCACGACACGGAGGCACACGTCAACAACAGCGCTTGTACTCACGCCCTTCCACGGGAGACCAGAAAGCTCTCCCTTGCGCACTGGCAGGGACCATGCTCTAGCTCCTCTGGTCCTCCCCTCAGCTCATGGCGGGGAGGAGGCACGTGCCTCCAGCTCGCTCCTCACCGCTCAACCGTACCTGGCAAAGGCCCTGAGAGAGAGGGAGAAAGGAAAGCAGGGTAGGAGACTCCCGCACGTCAACCACGCATCTTGAAGAACAGGGGTAAGCAACCTTTCCATCTTCTCCACGTGAGTCCGCACACTCTTCCCACCGGAGGATAATGCCGTGCAGTCATCCTGCCATCAGCCACCACCTCGGCGTCCCTGTCACTGCTGCAGCCAGGGCTGGGCTGGTCCAGATCTTCTGAGAAGGTGCAGCAGTGGCCGCTCAGCGACTCAGTGAATGCCACCAGCGCTCAGCTCCAACACAGTGCCCTCTGGCCACATCTCTGCTTTCGTAAGAGGTCCCCATCCTGACCGGGATCATTGATGGGTGCTGCTGTGCATGCAAGGCCAAGGGTTGTGGTGCAGTCACCCCTAACCAGCGCCACATTTGGATGCTGCAGGTCACGGTGGGTTTGCACAGGTCAACTCTTCCAGGAGCTCATGAACCAGCACGTAGGAACAAGGACGCTTCATCTGCAGGTAGAGGGGGAGCAGCTGGGTGAACCTTCCCTGAGATAAGGGAAGAGCCTACCCGACCAGCTTCAAAAGGGACTCCAGGGTGGTTTCATCTGAGCATCGAAGAGGGAATGAAGACAGAGTTTGATCCCCTTTGCAGGCTACATCTCTCCAGATCTCCTACAGCTTCAGCCAGAGCTGCTCAGGTAGGAGACTGGTCCTGCTTGGACTGTGCAAAGAGGTGCTGGAGAGACTGGCACCACCAAGCTCTCCCTGCCCTTTGGTTATGTCTACAGCACACAGTGACCCAGTTGCGTGCTGTGTGACACCCTCTAAGGTGCTCCCAGCTGTGGAGCTCCATCAGGTTGACTTGGAGGATCTGTTCCTTCAGAGGCTGCGCCCAGCAGGCATGGGGACACCCACTGCCACCCCCTCTGCCAGGGAGAAGGCAAACGCATCACGATGTGCCACAAGAGGCGATGACAGGCCCATGCTCCAGAGCGGTGCTGCAATCTCACACCAGGTTGATGCTCCCAGCTAGGGGGAACCAATGAGGAATCCATGGCTGCCCCAACAAACCCCACAGACAGAAGTCAGGCAGTTTCTTGAACCCATAAGCAGTTGAGGCTGGTGGAGATGGGGCATGCAGCTGAGCCTTTGTACCAAAGAAGGGCCAAGAGCCACAGATGGGCTGAACGGACGCACCGACACGACAAGTACCCTGGACAAGCCCAGGAGAGGGACACAGGCCAAGTTTCTGGCTGACCTCCAACCTATCCCAAACCTGGATGTGCAGGCACAAGCTCAATTTGCAGAGAGAAGATGGGGTGCCAGGAAGGGGCCACTGTGTTCAGGCATGTCCTATCCCAAAGAGCTGGAGGGTGAAGGAGGGCTCTGGACTTCCCAGCATGTCCCAGTGCTGCTGCTGCACAGCTCCAGTCCAACGGGAGGATGGAGAAGGGGACCCTCAACCCCCTCACCCCATCAGCAGCCTCCTGGGACCCTGGGGTGCTGCAGGCAGGGGAGACCAGGGCAGCTGACAACAGGGATGGTAGGACAGGGACATGGCAGGTTTGCCCATGGTGCAGCAGGAAAAACCTCCAAGACACCTTACAGGGGGGCTGGGAACGCTTCAGAGAGCCGTGGCCATGAGGGACAGCCCTCTCAAGGTGGATGGTATGGCGTGTACATAGCATTATCCTGGCCCCATGGCTGCTTGGTAGCAATGGTCCTCTCCTCATCAAGTTACAAGGGCTGTAATCACTGTGGAAGGTCGTCTGCTGGGGTGGGCTCTTGGTCTGGCCTCCTCCTCAGCCAAGGAAGAAGATGGCTCAACCTGGGGACAGTTTTGTCCCCTGGAGCTCAGGAGCATCTCTGGGCATCACTGTGTGTGGAGACAGTGGCGAAGTCCTATGCGACCAGAGGAATCCAGGACCCAATGTCGCTCTGGGTAGGAGTGGGGACCGGGCAACAGGATGTCACCAGCACCCTCGTCCGATCATCACACCGGTGGGTGAGGGTGGCCTGAGCCGGGACAGAGCTGCGGGCTGACACCCCAAACTGAAGGCAACAGTCTCCTGCGACTGCCCAGGCCGGGTGCATGAGGTCCCCCTTGCCCAAGGCTGGAGCAGAGGTGGTGCCCCGCCATGGCACATGGCCTCCTCGGGCAGGTCAGGAGAGGTGAGAGCATGGAGCACGGCCTTCCTCCATGGCACCAGGTCTTCGGGGCAGGCATGGGGAGCCAACCCACAAGGAGGGGCAGCTCAGTGGCAGAAACTGCCCCAGGCAGCAGCATTTGGCCTCATGGTTGGGAGAAACCAGCAGCTGGTGCCTCCCACCTTCCTCGCCAAGCTCAGGGCTTGCAAAGGGCAACCTTCCAGTCTTGGGTGGCAAGGACACAGCTACACCTCCTGCTCATCACACCAGGGGACTCACCTGGAGAAGAAGGGCTTGCAGCCAACCAGGACCAGCTCACAGCTACTAGGTGGCCACACTCTAGGGCTAGCCGGGCTCGAAGAGCTCCTCTCCCTATGCATCTGCCCCCTTTCTGTACCTCTTCCCACAAACCCAATGCTGGGGTTCAGCTCGCTCAGCTGCAGAGCAGCACGTCTTCCTACCTCCTGCTCAAGTGGACGTGCTATTACCAAATAATTTGCCTCTAAAAGCTTCTCTGAGAACTAGGACGCCCTGGAGGATGTTCTGGTACAGGAGTCCTATGTCCTGTGCGACCACCAGGTTCAGGATGATGAGCATGGGAGAAGGCAGCTTTGGGTTAAACACAAACAAATCTCGGCAGGAACAAACCATGCAGGAAAACCATGCAGAAAATCAGAGGTGAAATCAATGTGAACATTGACAAGAGAAACATGGAAAAGTTTGGCAAGACAGTCCCCTCCCTTTTTTTTTTTTTTCCTTCAAAAATAAAAATGTTAGATTGCAAAAAAAGGCTTCAAACAGTTACGAAAAGCACATCCTTCTCAAGGCAGCGCTCCCACGGTGCCCCCTTTCCCCCTACAACAGCTCTAGCCCATACGGGGCACTGCAGGATGAGCAAATCCCGAGGGCAAAGACCACGTGGGCACCAGCCGCTGTACCCTTCAGCATTTTATCCCCAAACTTGCCATTTCTCCCTAAAGCCTCATCCCCAGCCATTCTCATGATTAGGTTTTAGAAACCCATTCCTGGTCGTTTTTGGTGTGCATCCCCGTCTTGCCGCACCCAGACCCCCCTGGCCAGCAGGAACCATTTAGGACATGGGCTCTGCCACCATCCCCTGAAGGCTGCACCCCAAGAAAACAGCGCTGGCCGGCACTCAAAAGCCCTGAGTGCATGGAGGACCCACACCGGGGACCTAAAGTGCCCTACGGAAGGAAACAAAACCATTCGAGGTACTTACTTGGACTGGGTTTGCTTAGTAAGGTTCTTTATGGTCAAGCCCTCCTTTCCTATGATCGCACCAACAAACTGCGTGGGCACCAGCATCCGCAGTGGGAAATCGAGCTGTTTGGGCTGCGAGGAGCCCCCCGGGGAGGAGCCCCGCTCCCTGGAAGAGTGGCCCCCGCGGCGGGATCGCTGGGGGGGCGGAGGGGAGCTCACCTCTTCATCCGGGATGTAGGAAATCTTGAAGGAATAGTTCTCAAACTGGTGGCCGCTCAGCTTCTCAATTGCTCTGCAAGGTAGTGAAAGGCAGGGGGCGGTGAGGCGCTCTCTGGGGAGAGAACCTCCACCAGTTGCCCTTGTAGACAGTGGTCGATGGGTACCCCTCCAGCACCCCCAGCACTTGCACTTGTAGACCCCAACCCTGCATCTTCCTCCCTCCCCAGTCTGGAGAAGGTGGCCGTGGGAAGCCAGAGTCCCCCACTTTCCCTTTGCAGAGCAAGCCCCATAGTGTGGTGGGACGATGTCCCCTCCCATGTGGGTGATGCCAGGGCTGGCACACAGCTTGTCCCCCCAGCAGAGGTGGGATGCCAGCCTGGGGATCTGCCACTTCACCCAAGGAAAGTGCTGGCCAGAAACTATCACACAGTGTGGAAATGCTCTCACGGGCTTTTTGGACATGGAAAAGGTGACAGAGGGGCTCCAAGCAAGAGCTGCCGCTCCAAGGAGAAGGCTGCGGCACGTGGTGCCCCTCTATTGGGAACCCCAACTCCCTTTCCAGCTCTGGTGAGGCTGGGGGTGCAGCACCTGGACTCTTCGTTCCCCCCAAGCCCCTCCTCAGCAATGCGATGCTCAGCCACAGTGAGTCTGTGATGACTTCTGCAAGCAGTCATGGCTTCAGCCGTACTTCTTCCCTCTTCCTACCGCATCTTGCTTTGGCTATTTATAGGCAGGTGTATGAATGCACCACTGCAAGCAGCTCCTTGCCAGGCCCGAAATTCACATCCAACGAGGACTTCTGCAGTTTCACTGTCCCTTTCTGAAATCACTGCAGTTCCCCACAGTCCAATTTCTCTGCCAAGGTCTTCCTTTCACCCATTCCTGGTGCTCTAAACCAAACACATATACCCACGAACCCACATATACCACCGACCTTTTCTCCCATCACTTGCTTCTGTGTCTAGCTGCTGAGCACCACCCAAGACAGGCATCAGCCTGGCTGGATGTGACGGGTCACAGCATCTTCTCTAACCCTGAAGCCTCTTACTCCAAAGCATCAAGCACTGCTGTGTTGGTGAGACTCTTCATCTTCCTTTCTTGCCACACATCCCAAGACACAGCAGCTCATGCTGCTTTTATCTGCAGCCCATGGCACCTTCCTCCGGCCAGCCGAGGCTGGAGCACGCCCAGCATGGCTACCCCAACAGGCACAAGGAGGACTCTCCTCTGGCCTCCTGGACCAGCAGATCATTCTCCTCATCTCTGTCCTCGCAAGTCCAACCTCGCGATGGGTCAACACAGACGGGAAGTTGCTGGAACGCCTATCAGCAGAGGGACTCAAAGTAGGACATGGCCCATATCCCATGGCCTTGGGACATCTCTCTCTGACACCATCCTGTACAGCTATAGCTTTCTGTCCTTTGCTGTTCCCACCACGCAGCATTCTCCCAAAACCAGAACAAGCCTCATATTCCACTTTGCACTGGAAAATCCTGCTTTCGATGCACATCAACTCAGCATCAACAAAAACCTCTGCTACGAGAGTTTCTCCATCACAATCACATTCCTGCACTGCAGTGCCCTACGTTCAGATGTTAAATAGCAGGACACGGATCTGCTCCGAACTTGGTAACACTTGCACTTGGGAACCAGTCTGACTATCCATGGCTCTTTCCTGCATGGGGTCTGCATGGACATGGCTCTTGGTCATATCAAAACTACCCTGGCTGCTAAGTATGAGATGCGCTTACTGCTTACTCATAGCTAACAATGCTGGTCTCTAGCACAGGGCTGAAGTCTCTACAAACCTGTTACAAAGCATTTTGCTTGAAATAGTCCTTGCATTTCTGAAATAACCCCTAATTTGTAATTTTTTTCCTCTGCTGGCTACGATAAATCTTTAAGCATGTCTTCACACAGCCCTACAGCACTGATGCACAGCCTCAATGGGTTCTTCCATCCTTTTAAAGTTTTTCTTGATTCCTTTACGACTCCTCTGCACAACATGCAGGTGATTTACCCTCTGCCACTCTCTCTCCCCTGCAGAAATGGGCCATGGACCCCTTGGCTCCCTCTCACCTCCTCTGACCAATTATTCATCCACCTGAAGGCCCTCTCTCTTGTCCATGGCAGAAGAACTTTCCAAAAGCCTTTTAAAATTCAATCAGCCGGTTTCTCTGGGCTCCAGGAAGCAGGAGGTGACAGTCTCTGAATATTTTGGTCTCCAACTTGAATCTTCCCCAAATGGCGGGGGGTACTTATATCTCCCATCATCGCAGTGTTTCTTCACCATCTCTCCCACCTCCTTCACCATATTCTACCTCTTCAGCAGCTTGGGCTGGGTGGTCGGACTGGTGATTAATCTGGTCCATTCCCAGTTTAGGTCTGGACTTCCAACCTGGGAAGACAACTCCTTGACAAACTGCTTATCTGACCTGACCCTCAGCTTTCTAGAGCGCTTTGCTCCCTGAAGACAAGGCCACTGCGACCCTGCAGAGGACCTTGTAGGAAGGACAGTGTCCAAAGGGAATTGCAAGATGGCACATCTGGGAGCCCCTTGGAGACAAGAGGAGAAGGCACAGAGGAAGAGGGGACAACCACATGGCTGATGGCCCCAACCTGGTCCAGCGGTGCCTGGGCATGTATGATGGGGCACCACGAGAAACCCCATCTCCCATGCAAGGGGAGAAGGCAAGAGACCACCCAGCAGTGGAGCGAAGAGGGGCAGGTGGAGCTGACTGCTGGCAGAAGACACGGGAGGTGACAGAGCTCAAGATAAAACCATCTGCCTGCTGTATCTCAAGATACACAGACAGCCCTTAAGGCACTTGAAGCTTACACTGTAAGAGCTTAGAAACAACCCAAGGAGGCTTAGGAAGAAGACAAGAAGCAGCCTGGAAAAATGGTGGGGGAAAATACCTGGGATTCCTCAGGAAAAGTTCAGGTGGTGTGAAAATATGGACAAAACAAAGTAAAACCCACTTACACTTTTGCTTCTTCTTTAGTTGCATACGTTACGTTGACAACGGCTGTTTCTGTATCTGTGTTGACTGGGAGAAAAGCAAGAGAAGGAGTGTTAGAGCAGGGGAGGAGAGAGACATCGCCGCTGCTCCTGGCCCCACCAGTATGCCCCAAAGAGGGGACACAGGTGAGGACAGTGGGAGGGTAATGCCTGTCCCGTGGGGGACGGCCCCAGCCACTGCGCCAGCGTGCGCACTTGTGCACCTCTGTATTTTCCCACAGCACAAGGATGGGGGTGGGCTGGCAAAGGACCAGAAGGTGCCAAGGCCTGATCCTGCCACCCTCACCAAGGAGGATGCATGGCCGGACATCACCAATCCACCAGCGGACCCCAGACAACACTCATCTCGTTTTTACTTGCAGGGACAATTGGGTTTTCATCTGCCAGCAACCAGGAGAAGCCCTGGGGATGGCGGACTGATGGCCATCACCATCCTGCCACCGGACGGGCGGCCCCCCCCCTCTGCCAGCAGGGCTTGTGTCCACAGGGAAAAACATTTTAGCCCAGTCCCAAAGACTGGGAAAACTAGGTTTCACCCCACTGGGTTTTCTCTGGTGTGGGCAGAGCTGGGGAGCAGCACTGGGACTTTTGCAGATGAGGACCATGCTGGACCATCTTACCTTGCTCTACGTTCTCCACCGTCCCATACTGAGCTAACAGGCCATCCAGCACCTGGGGGAGAGAGCAGCAAACAGGGCAGATGAGGCAGGCAGGAGAGGCTGCTGGACAGGCAGGGAGCAAGCAGGGGAAGAGCCTGCTTCACCCACAGACACCCTCCAAAGAGCCAGCGTCACCCAACTGCTTAAATGCCTTCACCCACCTGCATCCCATTATCCCAATGATGCCCCACTGCTCAAAGCTGCCCCATGGCTCCGGGACCCACAAGCAGGCAGTAGATAGAGCCCAGTTCATGTTCCACCTCCCTCCTGGGGTTACTGGGAAGGTAAAGGTGGCCCATGTGCAGACCACACGCTCCAGCAGAGCAGCTCATGCTGCTCGGCATGACTGATGGAGAAGGAGATGAATTTTAGAATGCTTTTAGGATTGTCCGCTTCTTACCTCCCACTGGAGGTGGGGGGGGATGTTTCGGATCTGGATCTTCCTGCTCCTGTAAAGACAAAGCCAGGTTAGGGTCTGCAGGCACACTGCAGCAGGAGGGCAAAGGCTTTATGGAAATTGGTCGGCAGCTGTTGAGAGCTTGCTGAAGCATCCTGCTTCCCCATGCCGAGCTGAAGCAGCTCAGCCCCGGGGAAAGCCATTCCTCCCAGCCTTGCCCCGGTCACCTCCCACTGGGGCCGAAGCTGTCTCGGGAACACTCCCTCCTCGTGCTGGCTGCCGGGTTTCCAAGGAAACCTCCTGAAATGAGCCTCTGCAGAGTCACGGCCACACAGGCGTGGCCGGGACACACGCACGCACACCCCTGACAGCACTGCCCCAGGCTGGCCAGCTGCAGGGGGACAGGGGGACAGGACCCTGAGACCCACCACAGCCAGCCCTGCTATCCGTTGAGGGGGGCTCTCCAAAGGTGCATCCTACTGATGTCCACCACCTCCCCAGCAATGTGGGGCTGCCTTCTGTGGGGAAACCTAAATACATATCCTCAGGAGCCTGCCCTTAGAGATGGTCAACACACCCAGCCTCACGTTGTTGCACTCCCAACCTCACATTGTTGCACTCCCAACCTCGCCGTGGTACAGCCTTGGGGCATGGATACACAGGAAGCATTGCAAAGGCTTCCCAAGAAGGAAGACCACCAAACACCTCCCCAGCCTAGCTGCAAGAAGACGTGCACGGGCAGTGGGGAGTTTTGAGACACCCGAGTCCATGGAGGATCCAGCCAAGCCATGAACTCATCCACTGTTCACCCAGACCAGCATTCATAATCCTGCTTGTACTCAATCAGCTCCGACCAAAGCAGTGTCCTGTGTTCTCACCTGGTCCAGCTCTAATGCTCTGATCAGAGCAGAGCAGGACCACCTCTCCCAACATCGGGGATGAGTTTTCCGACCAAGCCACCCCACACACAGAGCCAGGTTTTGGGAGCCGGTCAGCAGCTGGAAGCTGGTTTTGCGAAGCTTTGCCCTTCCTTGGGACGAGCTCAAGGAGGACACTTGGAAGAACTGGTACCACCAGCGTGAATGCTACGTGGGGACATGCAAGCAGCCACCAGCAGCCCCAGCAGACAGCCAGGAACACTCAGGGGCTTTGGGCCAAATCCTGCAGGAGGAGGCAGGAGGAGTTCTGCTCGCCTGCAAATCATCAACACCCAACACCCTGATTCCACCAGCAGTCTTCAACAGCTGGAAAACGAGACTTTCAAACTTTGGCCCAAGCGTCGAGGCTGGTCCCCGCACTCGCTGCTCATTGCACATGTGCACCCCAAACCTCTGCACCCCACAATTTTGGCAGATAAAGAGCTTCTAAGGTAGTTTGGGGCCAGACACTGGGGGCAGGGAGGAAATGTGGGGCACAGCAAGAACCAAAGGAAAGGCTGGCCCGTGCAGACCCAAAGCAGCCAGGGCTGGGGAGAGCTGTGCACCGCAGCGCTGGAGGTTGGTGTGCTCCAGACACGATCCTTCTGCCTCTACCACGGCAGCACACTCCGCTTGCTCCAGATTTAATAGCACAGGACAACCAGAACCTTGTGATGGACAACCTTGTGAATGCCTTGTGAAACATGAATTCGGGCAGAGCATGAGCAACATGACTGTAAGGATGCTGGAGAATACGTGCAGCAACCTGGGGCATCCACCCCACACACAGCAGATAAAACGCAGGCTCCAAGAGAGAAAGGTATGGCAGGGAAAGGATGTTTCTTGAGATGTGGGCTGCAAGGGCAAGACAAAATCCACAGCTCATCCCATGAGAATGGCCACAGTCAAGCAAAGGAGCTGAAACCACCAAGGAGCACCATCTCATGGTGCTGCTCAAACAGGCATGGTCAGTGGTGCAGTCAGCAACGGACAACAAACCCTACGCTCACCTCCAACTGAGGAGGTGTACTCAATAAAACCCTGTGAGGGCTTGACAGCTGGCATCCCCAGGCCAGCCCCTGCCAGATCCTCCTCCAGGGGTCCTGTGTACGGCCGTCCTTGCTGACCGATCACCTCCACACCGGCCAAGAGCCCTGCCCCGTTCGCAACCTGCCCCCTGTGCCGTGTGTCTCTCTACAGGGATGGCTCTGCCCATCGAAAGAAACCAGTCACTGCAAAAAAGAGTGGAAGCCAGAGCTAGAGAAAATGGTGCTCTCCTGCAGGCTTACCAAATCCCTCTCCTCCAGCAGCCATGGACTCCTTCTGTCCCCAGCCGCCACGAGGGATTTCAGTGTTGGGAATGCAGCTGTAAGATCCTTGTGAGGCAAGGAGCAAGATTGAGCCCATCACATCCTATCCCATCTCATCCAACCCTATCCTGTCCTATCCCATCTCACTCCATCCTATCCCATCCCATCCAACCCCATCCCATCCCACCTATCCCAGCCAACCCCATTCTACCCCACCCCATCCCATCCTCAAGCCATTCCCACCCCACCCCATGCTAGGAAGGAGGCAGTGAGGAGGACCTGGCCCAAGGAGGACCACAGCAATGACAATCCTGCACTACTCACCAACAGCCCAAACCCTTCTCTTGCCTGTCCTTGTCACCCACCCGTGGCTGACCCCACACCTCCACTCCTGGTACAAACACTCTGCAGGGCCCACTCCAGAAAACAGGACATGTTTCATTTTTAAAACCCATGAACATCTCCCAGAGGGGCTATTTTAAGGCATCCACATCCAGTCCCAGGAGGTGCTGCATGCTCAGCTCCCAAGGGGACCTATCCTGCCTGCTCTGAGCAATGCATCCTGCTCCCGAGCTGAGCGGTGGCACACAGTGAGGCCAATTTGCCCAAGCAAACCCCAGCCCAAGTGCCAGTGAGTCTCAAACCATCGGCACCTGAAAGCTTTCCAGGGAAAAGCCCTTTTCAGCTCCAAAAGCCCAACTGAAGCCCAGGACTGGCTTCTCCCCGCTGGCAGAAAGACCTGGCCATGCTGCCCAGTTACTTCTACCACCTTCCAGCCCCAAAACAGAACTGGTGGCACCTTCACCTGCCTTATCCCAAGGCGCCACCGCTCAGCTGCAAGCCAAAGCATCGCTACAACCATCCTCCTCCCTCAGCCTGGGAACCATCTGTACCCACAGGATGCCACAGGCTGGACCACGGAGAAGCTACTCTCCTTTTTGGGTTCATGTGGCTCAACTCACCCTGTCACCAAAGCCCAGCAGCCTGGGGGATGTGGGGCATTTTGAAGCAGCTCATCCAAGTAAAACCAGCACACTGGCCAGACGTGGTCCCCTTGCGACAGTGTCAGCAGCAACCCTAGAAAAGCCTCTGCCTTGAATTGAATTGCACCAGGGCCATCGTGTCCCTACACCTCTGCCAAGGGAGATGCCAGGGCAGCCCTGGTCCCCTGAGGTGCTGCCTCACCCCTCCGTGCAACTCACCCGCCTCTTGAAACACCCAAAGAGAAGGAACACAGCAAGGTGCCACATAATCCCACTTCTCAACAGGACACTAGAGCATATTCCCACTTCCAACGTCCATCTGAGCTGATGCAGAGCCTCTAAAGATACCCAAATGGTGCTCAAGGCTTCACCCCCCACCACCTGGCAGATCTCCCAGCAGCTCATTACCACCACTCAGCATTTAAAATAAGGTTATTATTCCTACTGGGTGTATTTTTTATAACTCTCGTAATTCCCCACCTGGTTGATGCAGTGCTGGACCACATGCAGTCATCACTGACAGATTGATGGATATATATCTGGGGCCATGATGGATGGATGTGTTATTCCCAGGGCCGGGGCATGGACCACGCGTGGTCCTCGCAGGACAGGGCAGAAAACCTCAAGGCCACCCTCCTCCAACACCACTCCCGGGAGAACTTTGGGGCAGAAAACTCCTTTATTTTCATTTTCCTTGCTCCTTCCAAAACCTGGGAGACAGGGGATTGATTTCGGCGCATGCACACAACCCCCGGCACAGGACCTCATGATGAAGGCAGCAGCCACGTTTCACCCAACGTGTTTTGCAGCAGGCTGGTAGGAATTAAAAAAAAATAATAAATCATAATAACCAGTAACTATGGGCACGGAGTTTGTGGAAAAATACTTAATTACGTGGTGCCACCAGCCCTGCCATAGCAAGCTGCCCTCAGATAACCATGAGAGCTGTATCTTTCTGCATCACGCTCCCACCAGCCATGTCAGTGCCCAGCCCAGGACAAAGTGCCCGGTGGCAACCAAGCATCAGCCTCAAGTGCTAAAGAAACCAGATTTATATAGGTTCACTGGCTTTTTTGCCCTTCTAAATTAAACCAAAAACGGTCCTGCTCACTAGCAGCTATTCTGGCTCAAGGAGGAAACATCTCCTCCATCCCAGAGTTGGGTTTCAGGTACTGTGCGCCAGCCAGCATCACACGCAGGATGAAGGAGCCGGCTCGCCAATCAAGCGAGGCTGTAAGCTGGGTTCATGAAATAATCCACAACAGAGCTGTGCTATATTTCATGCATCGGTTAGACCGAAATCACAAGGTTGACATCGCAGCCGTGCAGGGAAAGGAGACAGAAAACCCACGGCCACCTGCGCCCCACCAGCATCACCAGCTGATGTCCATGAACAAGAGCTTCACGTGCCGTGTGCCGGATATCTGTACTTGCTGAAATTACGCAATAAAACAGAAGATACCTTAGAAGTTGTGGTTTATTCCCAAGAATCAGGTGGATTGGGTTTTTTTTGGCACATCTCTCCCCTTTCCAGCAGCCCAGGTAAGCAGCAGCACTCGCACAGTTTCGTGGCTACCCCTCCCAGAGGTCCCAGGGAAATAACAGATAACAGCCACCCCCAAAATCCAGGGACACAGAGGAAGAAGAATAAAGATGAGACAAAGCTGTGAAATGAAAACAAGCCACCAGATCCCCTGCCCAACCTCCATGAGCCCTCCCTGCGCCTGCCCATCCTTCCCCTGCCCATCGGGCTGTAGCTCCATGGACCACCCACCACCCCCTGGTCTCCTGCTCCAGAGGGGCTACACTTCCCCCTCCCCTCCCATAAGCGTTTGGGAACCAGAAACTCGTTTTCACTCAGCTGGCTTAAATATAAGCCTTACAACAGGATGCAAGGGATGGCTTCACTGCTCTTCGCCCTAAAAAATGAAGATTATTTTCTATCCAAGCTTTGTATTATCTTACTGTAATAAAGCCATAAAGGGATTTTATCACCTTCCACCTCAGATCAGTACCGAGGGCAGAGAAAACAGTGTCTGGCAGCTCCTGCTTTCAATAAAAATCAGTTTTCAAGAGAACTGGGGAAAAAAAACCAGAGGGGAAACATGCTGGAAACCTACTGTCTCCCCAGTGGCCCTGCCTGCTTTATGAAATATTTGTTCCAGGCAAGAAAACATCCACAAAAAATGACGCTTGTCATCAGGTGAGGTCCAAACTCAGTCCCACCTGAATTTTTCAGACCCAGCGACTTGGAGCCTGAGACGGGCACGCTCCCCTAACCAGGCAGGGAAGAAAGCAGCTGTTGGCTTTGCCTCTTTTGATTATTATATATATATTTTTTGGTCTATTGGGGTCATCGTCAACAAGTTTTGCTCTCGCCCAACCCAGTCCAGATCTTAACGAGCAATGGCTCTGTCAGCGCCGGGCTGGATAAGCATTAAAGAGCTGCCCCAGTTTCAACCAGTTGCCAAGAGCATCGGGATGCGTCTGCTCCAGTTCCATTCCCAGCCTGGGGGCTTTGCCTTGACACTCTTAAGGAATTAAGATCCGTTCATGTTAAAGCCCTGTCCTCTTCCGCAGGACAAACAACCTGCCGAGGGACAGAGCAGGGGGGGGACAGCAAGGACAGCACGTGATTGATACATCCCCCTGAGCTGGGGATGTATTAACAATAGGGATGAATGGGAAATAACGTCCCATCAGCAGCAGCTGAGAATAACCTCTGCTTTAACTACACCTAGCTCTGCCATCTACATAAGGAGACCAGCTCCTAAATGATCCCCAGCCGTAAAAACACAGATCTTCCCTAGGGCAATGCTAAAGGAAATACCAGAGCACGGGGACACCTGGTCATTCAGTTTAAGCTGAGGGGGAGAAGGACAGAGGACTAGAAAGAAACAAATCAGACAAGAGAGAAGACAGAGGAGCCGAGAGAGAAAGAAACATACAGGGAAAAGGCTAGAGAGATGGAGAAATGAAGACAAATAGGGACGAGGAGCCCTGACGAGACACGGAGAAAGAAAAAGTAGGGTCGAGGAGCAGGACAGAGGGGCAGTGGCGGGGGGGGGGCAAGAAGGAGGGAGAGGGGGGAGGGGAAGACAGGGGGAGGGGAGGGGAGAGCCACCCCCCTGCATCTCCATTCAGGATCAGGATGAAGGGGAAAACCAAGCCCGGTACAAGAGCAGGGCTGCCAGCCCGGCATGCTGCGAGCCCTGGTGTGCCAAGCGGGCAGGGGGACGTGCAGAGCTGCTGCAGGGGCAGTCAGCCATGCCGCGCTCCTGTCCTCTGCGACCCAAAAGCCACCCAAGCATCCCCCCCACCGCGGCACCCGCCTCTCCCTGGGGAGGGGGGTGATGGGTGGCGAGTGGCGGTAGGCACGGCATCAATGCAAAGCCCAACAGGGCAGAAGGGCAAGTTCAAACCACTGGAGGAACTATAAAATGACAAAAATAATAGGTAATTAATGATAAATATTCATGTATTGTTTTGCTTTCGGCTTTAGCCTCTCCCCAATGCCTTCAAACCCAGGTAGGCTTCACGGTGGTACCAAAAAGCATCCTGGTGTGCTATGGCATGGGCGGTGTGGCCTCAGTCACCCTCTTGCATCCTCCATGCCCGTGCCCCATCCCACATTGCTGATACCACCCCGGTCCCATCCCCGCATCCCGGCAGGTGGCAAAGAGCCAAGCAAAAAGACAGCTAAAGAAAAATAAAACTCCTCAAATGCCACCAGCTCCCTGTTTACCCACACCTGAAAAGAGATAAAATAAAGCAAGCAACGGCATCGCACCTAGCTATAACAAGCGCCAGAGTCCGTCTAGGAAAGGATCAGCTTGACGGGGTTTCTCCTGGCCAGCTCCATAGGGAACAGCATCTGAGACCTACGGGAAACCTGCCGTGCACCCAGCGGGCAGCAGGAGGGGGTTTCCCCATGCCTGATGCCACCAGCATCACCCTGGCAATGTCATATATATGTGTATATATATAAATATATATATTAAAAAGTATCTTTTTAAATATATAAAGTATCTTTTTTATATATATAGTATCTTATATATATTTAAATACTTTAAATACTAAATGATACATTATTAATTTATATAAATATAAAAGATACCAAAAGATATTAAAAATATATATATATATATTTAAAACTTGGACCAGGACTGAGAGCAGCCCCACTTCTAGCACTCCGAATTCAATTTCAAATCCAGTGTAACCCATCATACCATATACAAGAGAATCTCCAGCAAGTTTAATTCTCTTGGCAAAGCAAAGCAAACCCTCCCCACGCTGCAGCTGGAGAAAATCTCTTCTTGCTCTTTAGGTTTCTCTTTTTTTTTTTTTTTAATTAGAGATATTTTTTAAATTGGAGGTAATAGGACTGGAGATCCATGAGTATTTTTTCTGCTCCTCGTGTATTTATAGACGCGTGCGTGAATAGGTGCTGGTGGCTTTTCCTGGCAAAGCAACTGGTTTGCACAAGGATTTCCTCTCCCCTAATTAAGCATCTCATCGATGACAACCAATAAGGGAAGATGGGCTGCCTATAAGGAGACAAAAGGGCTTGTACATTTATTCTGAGCCTTAACATCACCAGGATTTTGGGTTTAAGAACAAGAGGGTGGGGGAAAATAAATAAATAAATAAAGCCAAAATACGCGGCAAAGATAATTGAATTGGTGCTCAAGAGAGGAAACTTATTTAAAGATAATTCCTTTTGAAATAGGAGAGAATCCTGCAGATCCCATAAAATCACCCCCAGCAAAGCTGTTTGGGCAGGCATTTTCATCGCTACCCCTCCAGCAACTGCTGTCTGGGGCAAAACCACCCAAGTTTTGCCATTTACTAAAATAGCAAAAATTATTATTATTTTTAATATTACAGAGATTTCCAGCCCAAGCTCTCTCCGACAGCCTCCCCCTCTGCGCTGTTCAGATGCTTTTATTTCTCATAGCTGAAAATTATGGCAGAAGCAGAAATTAAAAGGCACCTTCACAATCAGGAACCTGAAAATTTCACTGGTTTGGAGACATTAAATGGGGCTTTGCTACATCTCCGCTACTTATTAAACCCACCATTTTTATCCAATCCTCGTATAAAAGTCAGCATTGGGGTGGTTGGGTTTTACTTTCCGTATTTCACAACAAACCCTAATTTTTTTAAATTTTTTTCTTTCCCATTAACAGGATTTTCAAAGATTTCAGGGATGTACCACCTATCTTTAAGGGACAAGATGATGATGCTTTCCTCACTGCCACACTCTGGACACAAAATGCTCTTGAAGCAGGATTGCATCACCTTGCTTTAAGCAAATAAAAGTATTCTCTGCTCCTGCTGAATTTAAAAATCAATTTAAAAATTAATTTAAATTTTTTAAATGTTGATAAAAAATAGGGTGATTTTTTTTCTTTAATTTTCCAAGGCACAATACAGCATATACAAGGGAAAAAATACAATTGAGACACTGTTGGATCCTTCCTATAGGGGCCCAAACCATTTGCATGGCAGCAGAATGGCTGATTTTTAACTCGTGAGAGGCAGATCGGCAAAGCGGGCAGGATTCACGCTCCTTCTCACCGCCTTCACATTTAATTCATGCCTTCGGAGAAACAGAAACAACCCCCTGCCAGCAGCTCCCGGCGGCACCTCAAGGAAATCCCTTCCCTATGTACTGATGTTGGAGGTG